CACACGTATATACATCGCGGGCCTCTCTGCTTTCTGCAAAGAGATGGCTCAAAGGAACCTGGGCCTAAATAGCCCAGCGCTAGCACTAATGTTACTGAGCTGTTCCTAAAACTACCTTTTGTTTAACCATGGCTAATGCATATATGAATTGATAAACGTATCTCTTATTCAATATACTTTGGGGATTGGTTTCCTATTTTTAGTATCCCTATTTCGCCCACTTCAATATTTATTTTTACGGATGGTAATACATCCCTTTTCTAGGTACTATTTATATCCACTAGGTACTCTAAACGGAAAAACCGAATTCGAATCCCGCCGACGCTCGACTATTGTGGTGAGCCCACTCGTAACACAAGCATATTTAGCTTATCACCAGGGGTTAACGGGGTTATTGGTAATTTGTATAATTACATATTGCTTCCTTTAAAAAAAAAACATAAAAAACGAAGGCAGACCCTAATAAGGGTAGATTTCACTAATCACATCCTTAGTATTATGAAGTTTATAGGCAAATACTTAGAAAAACTTAAACCCAACTTACCCCTAGGTCCCGAGCTGACTTGGCACTGATAGAGCGCGTCGTCATCCAGAGTCACTTCTTTGATATCCAGCGAGTAATCCCCTGGAATAATATTATGAATTAGTATGTGTTTATTCGTTCGTTCGTTTCAGCCAAATGACGTCCACTGCTGGACAAAGGCCTCCCCCAAGGTTTTCCACAATGAACGGTCCTGCGCTGCCCGCATCCAGGCTCTTCCCGCGACCTTTACCAGATCGTCGGTCCACCTAGTAGGAGGCCTGCCCACGCTACGTTTTCCAGCCCGTGGTCGCCACTCGAGAACTTTCCTGCCCCAACGGCCATCGTGACATCGTAACCATCCTCTTTAAGGCTTTGGTGAGTATCAAGATGTTATTTTTGGCTTAAAACATCATCATAGACATTTTTGAATAAATAGTTTTCATAGACTAAGAAGTTCAGGGCTTGGACTACCAAGATAGATATTATGTTCTCATAGAAAGGGTTTCTGGAAATAAGTAATTATCAACAATTGGTTAACAGTACAACAGAAGAAGTGAGTTTCGAGATTCTGTCACCATACCCTGAAGAATTTTGAGGTAAATGAGTTTAAACTTCGTTTCATAATACCCACTTTCGTCATTCTGTATCTTATAACCTTTCTGTGGTGTTGACAAAATTATTGCCATTGTATTTTAAACTCTAAGAATAGATGCATGAATAAAATATTTTGCCTAACTTCTATCATACCTTCCTCATCACTCCCGATCATCGTATACCGCTCGTATCCGTTCAGGTGCCGATGCGTGCCCAGTCCGAAGTCGTCTTTAGTCCACTGCAACTGGCCAGCTTTGTTTTCCACCCTGCACGGGAGAGTCACCCTGGATCCTACCACCGCACTCTGCAATAAAGAACACATTCCTTTAACACAACAAATACATTGAAGTCAATTTGGGAGTCTTGAGACTTTATATTTCGTTGCGGGTTGGCAGAGTAACTTTGCCATCTATTATTAATTTCAGTTGATGTTTGTATGTATGGATGTCTGGATGTTAACATGTTTGTTACTCTTTCACGCAAAAACTACTGAACGGATTTTGATGAAACTTTATAGTAGCTAGGTATTATTGTTTATGGCCCATAATAACCTATAGGCTATAAAATGTGACGATCTGTGACAAACTAAATTTCACGCGGGTGAAGCCGCGGACAAAAGTTAGTCTTAAACTAAATTAAATTAAATCGAAATAAAATTCTACTCATTTATTACAGAAAAACTAGAAAAACTACTAAAACATCAGAAATGTGTATTCGAGTGAATTTCGCTGTGTTTCGCAATTGAGTATTCACTTTAAAGACCAAGTTTGTGATCTAGTAATTATGTAAACAAAAAAACTATCGTTTACTCAACTATGCCAGAAGAAGGGCTATGTTTTTGATAAACAATTATTCGTTTTGCATATTAAAGCAAGATACGAGTGAAATCTATACTTATAATAAATCTGTAGAGAGGTCAATTTTGTACATGAAATATATTTTCAAAATAACTATCAGGGGGTGATTAGTGATCGATACTGATGCCAAAAATGCAACCAGTAAAATTTTTGTCTGTCTGTCTGTCTGTCCGTCTGTATGTTCCTTATAGAAACAAAAACTACTCGACGGATTTTATCGAAACTTGGTACAGTTATTCTTCATACTCCTGGGCAAGTTATAGTATACTTAGGAATTCCCATGGGAACAGGAATTAGCGGGAAAATCCTTTTGTATGAAAAATCTAAGCCGCTTAAGTTAGACGAAATTTGGCATGTAGGTACCTAAGTAAACTTAAAGCTTAGTTACAATAAGTAATTCCAGAAATTCCCACAGGAAAGGGAAGTACCGGGAAAATCCTTTTGAATGAAAAATCTAAACCGCTCAAGTTAGACGCTTGATATTTGGTATGTAGGTACCTTAGTAAACTTAAAGCTTAGTTACAACAAAGAATTCCCGAAATTCCTACGGTAAAGGGAATTAGCGGAAAAATCCTTTTGTATGAAAAATCTAAACCGCTTAAGTTAGACGTTTGAAATTTGGCATGCAGATACCTTAGTAAACTTAAAGCTTAGTTACGACAGGATATTGCGAAATTCCCACGGGAACGGGAGTTAGCGGGAAAAAACATTTGTATGAAAAAATAAATAATATAAAACGCGTAAGATTTATTTATTTATTTATTTATTTATTATTCAAACATCTTACAAGCTAACAGAATATATTCCAAAGCGCTTATAAGATTAATTGTACATAGGTTATCATGCATGTCAATATAATAATAATTAATTCAATGTCAATATAATAATAATAAAGTCAATTAAATAAAAACAATAGATTTAAATCAAATTACCGAATGTCAATAGAACAATAAATTTAAAATTACAAATAAATTATAAAAATAATGTCATAATAAAGTAGTTAATTAATAATCAATCAAATAAAGTCAAAATAGAAACAATAAAATAATGTCAAATTGTCAATACGTATAAAAGTCATTTAATTTAATCCAAAATTGATTTAAGAGATGTCCTAAACTATCTGCAAATAGATCGATTTCATAGTGCCGAGCAAGAATGTCCCCGATAATTCGCAGAGCGCGGGTAGTGGGCGCATGACGCGCGCGCTCGGTGCGCACGAACTCTAAAGGAACGGTCGGTTAAGTACGATTTTATGATTTTAATTAATGAAGAAGGGACGTCAATTTTAAACAGTTTATGAATAAGAGCTTCATGCCAGACCGTGTCAAAAGCTTTCTCAATATCGAGGAGAAACATGCCAGTCGACTGTTGCAAATTAAGGCTATGAGACACCGATTCAGCCACTCTAGCTAGCTGCTGGGTAGTTGAGTGGGATTCACGAAACCCAAACTGTTCATCAATCAGAATATGCTCAGTGGCCAGTCGAAGGCGGTAATACAAGATTTTCTCGAAAAGTTTGCCCAGACAAGGGAGCAAGCTGATGAAATACATTAACTCTTAGCGTTTCAATGGAATTTTTGTCCAAGTCAATGGTCCAAGTAAGATTTACTTGATTCGAACGAAATGATAATTTCTAAACAAATTCTATTTTGGAAAACTCCCTATTTGTATGAAGTCGTAAATGGTAAATAAAAATAATAATTTTATGTGCTACGCGAATAAAATATTAAGTAGCTAGTTGTAATACTGTAAGTTTAATAAAATATAAGCTAGTTGTCTTCAATTGCTGGAATCCAAATAAGTAATTCCAGGGCAATGATTACTTAGCAGTAAGCCTGTAATGCCTTCATTTCAGTACGAATGTGGACAGGATCTAAATAAAGGGAATTGACAAAAATAAGACCCTTTGCTTGAAGTTTGAAGTACATAGTAAAATTCCCTAAACAACCTATATCTGTATATTTCGTCATCATCATCATCATCCTATTCGATGTCGACTGTAAAAAAGTGACATTAAATGTATGCCGGATTGTACAACGCCCCTAGCGGAAACTTTCAAGAACTAAAATTATTTATTTGACGCGCTCACTAGTGACGACTATTGATGTAAACTCACACTAAGCCCTCAGTACTTGGAGTAACGATTAACTCTTCTTATTGTATAGTAATCGTAGAACTGTAATTTTATTTTGTGACAGCATACAATCCGTTGGAAAGTCCGGTCGGCCGTGCAGATAGAATTTCGTTCAATGACCCCAACTGTTCGACGGGCGGCCGCAGTGAGTGTGCGAGCGCGACAGCAATATAATTACGCGCGAGCGATAAGGATGGGTAGCTTGGGGTCATTGTACGAAATTCTATCTGCTCGGCGACCGGACTTTAGAATATCTTATTTTTTTTGTTATTATCCTTATTATCTCTCTCTTGATTTAAATTATTGTAACATAATGCCACATCCACACGTATATACATCGCGGGCCTCTGCTTTCTGCAAAGAGGTGGCTCAAAAGAGCCTGGGCCTAAATAGCCCAGCGCTAGCACTAATGTTACTGAGCTGTTCCTAAAACTACCTTTTGTTTAACCAAGGCTAATGCATATATGAATTGATAAACGTATTTCTTATTCAATATACTTTGGGGATTGGTATTGGTTTCCTATTTTTAGTTTCCCTATTTCGCCCACTTCAATATTTATTTTTACGGATGGTAATACATCCCTTTTCTAGGTACTATTTATATCCACTAGGCGCTACTCAGTAATCTAAACGGAAAAACTGAATTCGAATCCCGCCTCCGCTCGACTATTGTGGTGAGCCCACTCGTAACACAAACATATTTTAGCTTACCACTAAGGGGTTAACGGGGTTATTGGTAATTTGTATAATTACATACTGCTTCCTTAAAAAAAAAAACAAAAAAAAAACGAAAACGCAGACCCTGTTAAGTGTAGATTTCACTAATCACATCCTTAGCATACTATTATGAAGTTTATAGGCAAATATTTAGAAAAACTTAAACCCAACTTACCCCTAGGTCCCGAGCTGACTTGGCACTGATAGACCGCGTCGTCATCCAGAGTCACTTCTTTGATGTCCAGCGAGTAGTCACCTGGAATAATATTGTAAGTTATTATGCGGTTAATGCAAGTAAAACCGTTTGAGTTAAAATCATACCGTGAAATAACCAGCTCTATAGGGCTTTAGCGAGTGTCATGATATTATTTTTGGCTTATAACATGCTTGTACATCTCTATAAATAATATAAGTAGGTAGTACACAAGTAAGTATTCGAAACTTCTCTGGCAAAAGCTGGATGCGACAAAAGACAAGGAGGCGTACTAAGGGAGGTTTAAGTCCAGCTGTGGACTTCTATTACTTATAATAACAGTACCATAAATAAAAAAATTATGTTAATTTTGCTTTGCTTGAGTCTGAGATTCATTTCAATACCCAGACAAGTAGTTTTGTATTTTTATGCCATTTATATGGTGGTGACTTAATTGTGATCGTATTTTGAATTTTATACCAAGGATAAATAAAGTAGGAAACAAGGTACTAGTCAATTTTGATTTCTACATAAAGAGGGTTTCTAAATCCTACCTTCCTCATCACTCCCTATCATCTTATACCGCTCGTATCCGTTCAGGTGCCGATGCGTGCCGAGTCCGAAGTCGTCTTTAGTCCACTGCAACTGGCCAGCTTTGTTCTCCACCCTGCAAGGGAGAGTCACCCTGGATCCTACCACCGCACTCTGCAATAAAAAACACATTCTTTTGACATTTGACACGAATTTTTCACTTTTTGAAACTGATGAAAATGGGAAGAGATAGAGCGCGCTAAAGTTCAAAAGAAGAGGCCCGTGACCGTGACGTCAAGACTTGCATAAAAGTGTAGCACTTTGTGACGTCACGCGCAACTTCAACGCATCGTAACTTCGTAATTACTTGTTTGATTTATAAATAAAAATATACATCTCCAATATTTTTTGATAATGTAATTGACGGACTAAAAGTTATTTTATAGGAAAGTAGCCTATTGATATTACTCACCTTAAACATTAAATATTATGTAGTAAAAATAAAAACTTTTGTTTATCCAACTATGCCAGAAGAAGAACTATGAGAAAACTCGTTGAGCATTTGATACACTCTTATTTTGCTTTAATATTTATGGAAATGAAATTGTTTCACTAAGTATTTTGCTTTAATATTTATGGAAATAAAATTGTTTAACTAAGTATTAGGAAACGAGTAATTTATATTGTCATCATTAACTATTCTAATGCCCGCTATCTTATAATGATTGCTTCAAGCAAAATTAATAATTAACTAGTTGTCAAACCAAAATAGACCTTATACAATGGCTACCTCCCTCAGGCCCTTTATTTAGATGTTTCCTGTTGGAATAGCTAAATTTCCTAGAAAAAGTGGGAAGATATAATTATACTCTTTGATAAAACCCACCCATTACAATTTAGTACAGGGTACTGTAAATCAAGAATGAAGCCTTTTAACTCTATTTTTCTATGTTTGTATTTCAAAAACATAACCTTCCTTTTGGCGCAGTTAGGTAAAAATACATGAATACTTATCTCCAGTTGAAATTAATACTAAAAGCTTTCTCTTAAATTTTTGTCGTCAGGACCTTTGTACTTTATTTCCCAGTGCAGAACAAATTATTGAAAATAAATTGATTTTTAAGTTAAAAAGAATTTTTTTTTTACATCGGTTATATAGGGTGATTTTGATCACATTGAGACCATAGAGCTTATTAAACAAAATCACCCTGTATATGTAACTAAACAGAAATTAAGATGGTACCAAATAACGATAACGATACAGATTCCTCCAGAAAAATAACGGTAATAGCGAAGACGTTATCCAACCGTGCCTCGGGCAAGGAATTTTTAATATCATCGTCGTCAATACAAGCCTTTTCTGTGTCAACTTTAGTTAGCGAAAGAATAATATTGGGTGTGTAAGGGCTAGCTCACACTCGATATGTACTGACTGATGTTATAATCGATTTTGCAAGTTTAATAAATACACTACGGGACTATTCCCACCTCTCGTTACCACCGCTGCAACTCCTGTGTAGCCAGGATCTACAGCTTGACAGCCAGTAAAAAAAGTATCTACGTCTACGTCTGACCAGCATGGGAACCAGTAAAAAAGATACCACTAGTCAATCCTCCCAGACCCGCTTGACCAGCATGGTAATTGTGGATAAAATCGTCCATTTGCTTCTGGTAAATTGGAGAGTTGTTCTCTTGCAGACTAAATGATGATGAAAACTAGAACTGTCACATCAACAATCTACCTACTGTCTCATCTACAACCATTATCCATTTGATTTCGTACTCCTTCTACGTAATTCAGCTAAGTTAGGGAATATGAATTTTCTGAGGGTGGATTTGACCAAATAAGAGTAAATTTCAATATTAATCTCAGGATAAACTTGTCATTTTGTTATTTTTCCCATACTGAAACTGTCAATGTGCCAGTTATACCAGGAGTTATTCTTGGATTAAAGTTTTGTCGAATTGGGCCAAGTAGTTGGCGCTAAAATATCTATTTTTTTATATTTAGAAAGAAAGAAAGCTTACCATGGCTTTGTTATATGAGATTAAGAACATTAAGTACACAATTATTTTTAAAATCATGTCTTTTCTTGCTTCGATGATTTTACATTCGACCCTGGAATCAGGAATACCAGAGAAATTACGGTCGGTGCTTCAGTTGTGTAAATCCAAAATCGGTTATTAACATGAGCAGCTGGAGGTAGTGACATATTATTATGGCACTGTTTGATGTATGTTTGACATTAAAGTCGCAGCATTCAGCTGCAGAGATGGCCTTGGATCTGTATGAATTTAAATTACAATTATTTTTGCTAAATTAATCTTTGTGCAGTTTTTAAATTAAGATTTTGTCATAAGTTAAAATTACGCTCTCTTTCAGATTGGGCATAGGGCAAGTTAATGATTTTCTGAAAAATAATATTAATGTTGTTATCCTTCAAAGAGCCGTTACTTTTATGGATTGATATCAGACGCTGTTGGTGGTTCATTCGAAAATACACAACACACTTTATTGTGAAGTGGTTACAAATCATAAAGTATGTCCAATAAGACACAAAGCTGCGTCAAGTTTTAGCGACAAAATCGCCTACTTTAATCGGAAAGTATGGAGTGTGTCTTGACCCTTATTCCAGGGGATTTTGGGAACATTTGATTTATGGAGACCTTAAATTAATATCTCCGGAATTCGTGCTCGGATTAAACGTTTTTATTCAGTAAATATTTTGAGGTAAATAACGACCCGACAGTATAAATTGGAAGTTTATTACATAGGTGTGCTTTCTGGGAATTGATGTTGAGGTACTTATATTATGTGTTCATGGTAGGTAGGTACATAAGTCACTAGTTATTTCGGCTAGTAAGTACTGAATTAAACCTATTATTGTCAACATAATGTTGAAAAGTAGCGCAAGAAACTCTGTCGCTAATGTACCTGCCTTTTCAAAGGTACACCAAAATTGGTGTAGTTAGTCAGCAAAATGCGTTACTTAAGCAATGGTTAACTTTTAGGAAAATCCTGTAATTAAATTTGGAAGTAATTATATGTAGTATAATGTTTAAAAATCTTTCTGAAACAGCTGCTGCAAGTCCAGACTCCATTTTTTTTGCCAGAGATGGACCACACAAAAGATTAATCAATGGTTAACCTTCAGTGTGAACATCTGCTGAAAATGACAGATTATTATCTTAAAACGAACGAATAAAAATGAAACTAAGGTCATTGGGAAGATAATTTCAGAAGCAGGTGTTGACACTGATTGTTAATTCATTTGGAAATTGAAGATTTATGTATGTTGTAATATTCTTAATGTGTTAACATCCACAAAGTGAACAGTAATCTGTTCACTTACAAACCTTACCTTACAAAGGTTGCAGAAAGGCGCTGGATACCATTAAAATAAATACTGAAAATCATTGGGGAAGGCCTATGTTCAGCAGTGGACATCATAATTATGGCTTAAACAATTAATTGTATTTGTTATATGTATGTGACTACGTAATGTGACATAACATTATGTAAACACTATCTATAGCCCCAATATACTGAACTGTCCTATCCGTGACATTGTTGCCAGCGGGACATTTTCCGATTTGCACAGAGAGTGCTTTCTGGAAAGCATATTTTTGATAGAAAACGCATTTAATTTAAATTATGCGCATTTAAACGCATTTTTTGATGATTTGACTTACCAAAATTCACACGGGCGAAGCCGAGTGCACTAATATGTTAAGCAAACGTCCTTCCTCCGTTTTTATCTTAACCTTCCAAAGCATCACTATGTTTTTCCATAAGAAAATTATTTTATGAACCAAGTAAGAACAAGTGCGCTGAAAACTTGAGCTAGACTTTTTATCTAAAGACAAACTACCGTTTTAGCTGGTCGGTCAACTTATTACATCTACTTTTCAGAATTTAATTTTATTTTTATGTTTGATGGAGCGGGAAAAGTTGCTTTAAATTCTAAATAGGTAACTAGCTTTTGCACGTGACTTTCAATTTGGCAAACAAAAGCTTTTCCCCTTTAACAAGCAGGATAAAAACTATTCAATGTTTTTTGCGAGTCTCAAACTATCTCTATACCAAATTTCATCAAAATCAGTTCAGCGTTTTAAGCGTGAAAGGAAAACTTTATGCGTGAAAATGTATGAAAATACACATAGAAAGAGTTACTTTTGCTCAAACCTCTAAAGTTTCCATTATAACAATCAAACTAAGAAGAGCTTTAATTAAGTACTTTTTATACAGTTGAATAAATTATCTATACGTTAGTGAAATTGTTTTCACCAGTCCATTAACGCAGTTTAAGCTCACACAAAGCGATGAGTTAAATTAATTCATTGTTCAAAATGGATTATTCTTTTTACGATAAAATGTCGAATAACTAAAAAAATTAAGCGAGAGTTTCATAGGATATTCGCACTCGTTTATATTTTAAAATAGATAAGTAAATTTGCATTTTAAGTAAACAATGAACGGTTTATTATTTAAAACTAGCTGACCCGGCGAACTTCGTACCGCCTTAGCGTAGAGATTTTCTTAATATTTTTTTCCGTAAGAACCATCCTTGGACTTCCACAAACATTTAAAAAAAAGAATTATCGAAATCGGTTCAGCCGTTCACACGTGATGCCGTGACAACGCGAAACGGGTTTCATTTTTATATATATAGATAAAATATTTTTTTTAGCATTTTCGCTCTTAGCCAGCTTTTAAAATGAAAAAACATATTAAAACAACTAGAACAGCCTGTATCAATGTTATTAATTTAGTGGTAAAACTCATAAATGTAGCGGGAAGGCGCTGGATGCAGGCCGCCACCAACCGGCCATTGTGGAAATCATTGGGGGAGGCCTACGTTCAGCAGTGGACGTCCTATGGCTNCTATGGTTGAAAATGATGATTTTGAGTAGAATAAGACCATCATACCAAAATGCGGAGAGCGCAGGATTAATTTATCATCATTATCATCATCGTTTCAGCCATTATTAGGTAGGTAACATAGGCCTCCCCCAAAGATTTCCAGATTGGCTGATTGGTAGCTGACTGCATCCAACGCCTTTCTGCTACCTTTATAATATCGTCTGTCCACCTTGGTAGAGGTCTTTTGGTAATAAAGAATATGTTTTTACTTATTTAACTCACCTGATCTTGAGGCTCGATAGCAAATCTCTGTTCTTTATGTCCATTCACGCTTGACACCACACAAAACAATACTAAACACTTCACTATAGCAACTCCATTTATCATCCTCAGCAAAAGGAACAATGAATTGCTACTCCTACTGGTAACTTTAGTTTTCATTGTCACAACTTTATCTAATCTCATCATTTTCGGTTCATCACTTATCACCTTAGGTTTATCATCGAGAGCAAGTTTATTGTTTTTATGTATAAAATCGTTGATTTCGTCATATTTTTCTTTATTCCCCATGGTTTTTTGCACTTATTCACATGGACAGCCATTTAAACACGTAGGTGAATCCGGTAGTAACACATCTGGAACAAAGAGAGAAATAAAAATTAACATAAATGTTATAGTAAGTATAGAATTTAACTACTACTTTCGCGCCCTATAGCTTTGTCCAAGTGGATCTCGAATTGTTATCAAAGCATTTTAATATTATGACTGTTAATTTCCTAAGTTTGAGACAAATGATAAAACCCACATTACCAATTTTTATCTCATATTTCACCATGTTTTATATTTGCGACAAAAAATGGCCAGTCTCCTGTTCCAAATATATCTTTACTCAAAAATTCATGAAAATTATTCCGTTGGCTTAAAACCATGAAAAATTAAACAAGCAATACATAATGAAGGGTAATTTTAATAATGTTAAAACACTTTTAAGTGAATAGCTACGTTGAAGTCAAACACTGAAGGTGAAGTCATTTAATAAATATTTCAAGCAAACCTAATGGCTGTTGAATAAAAAAGTAATAAAAACGAAGAGGATTTTGACAAATTACACGAAATAATATACATATTCCTATTTATTTATAGTAATTTCTTAAATTCTTGTGAATCAAAATGCTTCTCAAAACTTAGGTTCACATTCTAGACATAAATATTTCAGGGCGAAACCTCGCGCACATAAATACAGAGTGTCAAGAGCTCTACAAAAGTTAAAGTAAAGTAAAGCTAAGTTTAAAATAAGAAACCAACAAGTTTAAAAAATATTGCTCTAACTTTTTTTGCAACTATAAAATTAATCCCTACTTTTCTGAATGTAAAATTTACCTTACCGCAATTAAGGCTGAGTTGCACCACCTAACTTTGACCGTAACTATAACGATAACCGGTGCTTTTTGTATGGAGTTTGACAGATTTTTGACGTTTGCTAAAGTTAAAGTAAGATGGTGCAACCCAGCCTTAGTATGTTAGATCTAGTCGATATAAGTAGTTCATGCTCCGATAGAATGTAACTGCTTAGACAGTTGACTTCCTTAAAGTATTTTTAATATAGCATGTATTTTTATTAATCCACTTTATCTATAAGCTATGCCCGCGACATTGTACGCGTGAAAATAGGTTGAATAATATTTCCCGTTTTTGCAACATTTTTCTTTACTGTTCCACTCCTATATTAGCTGTAGGGTAAGAGTCGATAAATAGGCTATCAAGCACAACAAAATATTTTCAAATCGAACCAGTAGTTCCTGAGATTAGCGCGTTCAACCAAACAATCTCTTCGGCTTTATAATTTTAGTATAGAGGTAGATATGAAATCTAGTTTTCTCAAAAATGATACTCGTACACCCTATATTTCAGAAGCGTTGGTATCATAAATATGTCTTTAGCAGTCGCAGTTATAGTGCGGATATATAAATAAAGCGAGGTCTCAAGAACCTCGTGGAGAGAGCAAGTGAGAAAACCCGTCCTCTAACGGGTATAGAGATATTACTTGATGCTACTTTCAATATAAACTCAGTATCGTGATTACAATTATAATTTCTAGTTCATTACGGGACTGTTCCCACCTCTCGTTCCCACCGCTGCAACTCCTGTGTAGCCAGGATCTAAAGCTTGACCGCCAATAAAAACCCAACCAGTGAAGGTCAAGTTAAACTGTCATTTGACCCGTAACGAACTTAATCTGAAGAACATAGGAAGTTCGAAGTTAAGGTTCGACTCTCCATTGCAAAGCGGATGACAGGTGACAAACCTTTGTTTGAGAGAATAATTCTAAATCAACGTTCAATAATGCTTTAAGGGTCGACGTCCACTGCTGGACAAAGGCCTCCCCCAAGGATTTCCACACCAGTCCTGCGCAACCTGCAGTTCTTTAATACTTAATTAATACGAAATCATACTTAAAACTCAACTGAAACTTAAGCATAGAGTCAAGTTATTGGTCTCAATATTGAAATTCAATCCACATATTGAGCGGCCTCAAATTTCGATTCAGGCCAAAGTATAGATAAAATTTAAGCCTTTGATTGGTTTCAGAATGAGTCTGTAACGGTCTCAATTCGATTCAAACTGAAGCATAGATAAAACTGAACCTTCGATTGGCTGAATTACATTAGATAGTCCAGTGGGTCTAGACAAAGTGCTCATNACAGCCATATGTTAACCACGTATCTGTGTTTGTTGAATCCGCTAGTAACACATCTGAAACAAAGAGAGAAATAAAAATTAACATAAAACAACTAGTTTCGCCCTATGGCTTCGTCCAAGTGTTTTATATTATGATTGTTAATTTCCTGAGTTTGAGACAAACGATAAAAAACCCTCATACCAATTTTTATCTCCTATTTCACCATGTTTTATTTTTGCGACAAAAAATGGCCAGTCTCCTTTTCCAAATATACTCGTATCTTTACTCAAAAATTCATGAAAATTATTCCGTCGGCTTAAAACCGTGAAAAATTAACCGACACACTTTAGTTTAGATTAAACAAGCAAAACATAATGTAGGGTAATTTTAATAATGTTAAAACACTTTTAAGTGAATAGCTTCGTTGAAGTCAAACACTGAAGGTGAAGTAATTTGATAATAATTTCAAGCAAACTTAATGGCTGTTGAATAAAAAAGAAATAAAAACGAAGAGGTTTTTGACAAATTACACGAAACAATATACATATTCCTATTTATTTATAATAATTTCTAAAATTCTTGTGAATCAAAATGCTTCTCAAAGAAGTCAAACTTAGGTTCACATTCTAGACATAAATATTTCAGGGTGAAACCTCGCGCACATAAATACAGGGTGTCAAGAGCTGTACAAAAGTTAAAGTTAAGTCAAGCTAAGTTTAAAATAAGAAACCAACAAGTTTAAAAAATATAGCTCTAACTTTTTCGCTACTATAAAATTAATCCCTTCTACTTTTCCGACGGTAAATTTACCCTACCGCAATTGAGTATGTGAGATCTAGTCGACATAGTTCATGCTCCGATAGAATGTAACTGCTTAGACAGTTGACTTCCTTGTATTTTTAATATAGTACGGATTTTTATTAATCCACTTTATCTAAATAGCTATGCCCGCGACATCGTACGCGTGAAAATAGTTTGAATAATATTTCCCGTTTTTGCAACATTTTTCTTTACTGCTCCACTCCTATTAGCTGTAGGGTAAGGGTCGATAAATAGGCTATCAAGCACAACAAAAAAAATTCAAATTGAACCAGTAGTTCCTGAGATTAGCGCGTTCAACCACACAATATAATTTTAGTAAAGGTAGATATGAAATCTAGTTTTCTCAAAAATTATACTAGTACACCCTATATTTCAGAAGCGTTGGTATCATAAATATGTCTTTAGCAGTCTCAGTTATGGTGCGGATATATAAATAAAGTGAGGTCTCAAGAACCTCGTGGAGAGAGGAAGTGAGAAAACCCGTCCTCTAACGGGTATAGAGAGAGATATTACTTGATGCTGCTTTCAATATAACTCAGTATCGTGATCACAATTATAATTTCTAGTTCATTACGGGACTGTTCCCACCTCTCGTTCCCACCGCTGCAACTCCTGTGTAGCCAGGATCTACGGCTTGACCGCCAATAAAAGCCACCAGTGAAGGTCAAGTTTGTCCCGGGGGAAAGTTAAACTGTCTTTGGACCCGCAACGAACTTAATCTAAAGAACATAGGAAGTTCGAAGTTAACCCTCCGTGTACGAGGTGACTAAAAGTTACGCCCCGTACCAGGTGGGGTATGACACACCCCAAAATACAAAGTGATAAAATTTTCATTCAACATTTTTTAGGTGGAATTTAATATTTAATATTGATTATTTACGTATGCTAATTAGGTTTAAGAAATGCTCTGAGCTGAAAATATGTATTATAACATTTTTATCATAAAAAAACAAAAAGACACAATTTCCGTTGTTCTTGTAATTTAGGAATCAGTTTCCTATGTATAATTTTTAATTAGTGCCTTTAATTATGACAACCGTTTTTATTTAACAAAGTACAAGTATTTACTTATAATTTAAAAGTAAATTAAAAACTGGAAGGGTATAAATTTGTTTTGATCATCGGTTTTCAATTTACCACAATTCTGATGAAAGAAAATGAGTATGCTCAATGCATAAAATGGGAGCGTAACAATTTTATTTATTTATAAAATATGTTATTCCATTTCAGTAGCCCATAAGTTGTAACAGCAAGTATAAATTGTAGCCCATAAGTGTATGTTCACATACGTCTTCGGATCTCAGTACTAAACTTCCAGATTTGCACTAAAAGTCATCTCATTTGACTAAAAGTGCTTGAAAATTTCAGATACCGTAAAAATCACGAAAAATAATATTTGTATTGAATTTTATTCAATTGACAAAGCTAAAAATATATAAGTGACACCAAAACTGTTAGATTTTTTTTTTTACTTTTTAACAACGTCCCGTACCAGGTGGGGTGTGTGACACCCACACGCACTTTAAAGGCATGTAACTCAGTTGGTAGTCACCGCTGGACTGATTTTGCAACGCTGATCGAAGCAGCAGTGTCATAATTCCAGCTACTGAGAATTTCAAATTCAGCACTTGAAAATTGTTAAAATTGTGGCTGTTTTTAAAGGACTGGGATGTGTCACACCCCACCTCGTACAGCGAGGGTTAAGGTTTGACTTCCCTCCATTGCAAAGCGGATGACAGGTGACAAACCTTTGTTTGAGGGAATAAATTCTAAATCAACGTTCAATAATGCTTTAAGGGTCGACGTCCACTGCTGGACAAAGGCCTCCCCCAAGGATTTCCACACCGGTCCAGCGCTGCCTGCAGTTCTTTAATACTTAATTAATACGAAATAGTTAATACCTAAAACTAGACTGAAACTTAGCATAGAGTCAAGTTATTGGTCTTAATATTGAAATTCAATCCACATATTGAGCGCCCTCAAAATTCAATTCAGACCAAAGTATAGATACAATTTAAGCCTTTGATTGGTTTCAGAATGAGTCTGTAACGGTCTCAATTCGATTCAAACTGAAGCATAGATAAAACTAAACCATCGATT